TATATATATATATATATATATATATATATATATATATATATATATATAGTAAAAAAACATAGAAAGAGGATTATTTTATATGTAACTCTTAAAAAGGCAAAATGAAAAATTAAGCAATAAAATAAATTTATGAAAGATCCTACTGAAAGGACAAATAAACATAAACCATGAAGAATTAACATAATGCATTTCTTTGTTTTGAGCATTGCGCAGCAATGCCATTTTTATAACAATAACTGCATTCTCCGTTACATTATAATAATGATATATGTATTTATATATAAACACATTAACAATATAATATAATTACCTAAGAAAAATGTGTTAGGAGGAAATATACGATTCCCGCGCAAATAATCATGATCCATCGTCGTAAATAATAAAATTTATTTATTCAAGTCGTCAAGTAAATTTTATTCATAAATTTTTGATAAATTTTGATAAAAATAGAGATCGTGCAGCATGAATGAAAAGCAGATTCATGTGATTCATGTGACTTGTAATGTAGAACAGAATAATCGAGATGGATGTTTTCTGTTGCGTTTTACTGTTTCTTCTCATTGCTACGAATTTTTTTTATATTTTTGGTATATATAATTAATATACTCATAATTCTTTATTACGACGAAAACGCGTCATTTTTTATATGTACACGTCTGAATTATTCGTTGTAGAAAAGTGTCGGTATAAAAACCTAACGGATACACTTTAAGTTAAAACTTATTACGCTTGGAAACAAATAGAAATCTGTCGAGAGCATTATATTTAATCGCGTGTATTTTTGATAAGGGAGGAAAATCTCTGTGTCGCAAATCTCTCCGTTGTGTGCAGAAATGTATAAACTGCGTGATAGATTTCCCTCTATTGCATCCTCTAAATTGAGTCATTATGAATTACCGTTGCTCTTTGCGCAAGTGTTAGCGAAACAACACTTGTTGAGATTTAATCAAATCAATTTTCTCAGAATCATACCACACTCGCGTAATATTTCGTTATAAAATTTTCACAAACTACGCGTTGAATTTCGAGCGTTCTTGTCTTCTTGAAGATACGATAAACGCAGGAAGGAAAAGGGTGACAACCTTCAGTTAAAAATTGCTCATTCGTTCATTTAAAAATCTCTCGCGTTTTTTTCTTTCGTTCTCACTCAAAAAATCTCGATAGATGGATTTAAAACGAAAGACCGATTTTCTCCCTTTTAACTCCTGTTACGGGAAATATTTATTCGCATCTACTTTTTACCTAGACACGCACGCATACGCACATTTCCCTTCCTACCGTTACGACTAATTTTTCCGGATATCTTATATA